CCGCCCCCCCCCCCACACCCCCTGAGCCGCTTAAGCACCGGGAAGGTCAAGGCCGCTTGGGGTCCCGGTGGAGGGGTGGGGAGGGGCCGCGCCCAGCTCTCTGTTTGCTGACCCGCGTCCGCTTCCTGCCTTGCAGCGGTCGGGATGGAGGTGAGAAGACGGCCGTGACGCGCGCCCGCGCGGCCCCCTGCACCCCCAGCAGCCCACAGCGCTCCCTGCCCCCCTCCCCCGCGGCGGCCGGCCTTGCCGTCCAGTGACAGCGGCCTGGGGGGGCAGGGGGGGCGGGGGCAGCCGGACCAGCGATGCCGGCGGGCATGACGAAGCATGGCTCCCGCTCCACCAGCTCGCTGCCGCCCGAGCCCATGGAGATCGTGCGCAGCAAGGCGTGCTCACGGCGCGTCCGCCTCAACGTCGGGGGTCTGGCGCACGAGGTGCTCTGGCGCACCCTGGACCGCCTGCCCCGCACGCGGCTGGGCAAGCTGCGGGACTGCAACACGCACGACTCGCTGCTCGAGGTATGCGACGACTACAGCCTCGACGACAACGAATACTTCTTCGACCGCCATCCAGGCGCCTTCACCTCCATCCTCAACTTCTACCGCACCGGGCGGCTGCACATGATGGAGGAGATGTGCGCGCTGAGCTTCAGCCAAGAACTCGACTACTGGGGCATCGATGAAATCTACCTGGAGTCCTGCTGCCAGGCCCGCTACCACCAGAAAAAGGAGCAGATGAACGAGGAGCTCAAGCGGGAGGCAGAGACCCTGAGGGAGCGAGAGGGGGAGGAGTTCGATAACACGTGCTGTGCAGAGAAGAGGAAAAAGCTCTGGGACCTCCTGGAGAAGCCCAATTCTTCCGTGGCTGCCAAGGTGAGTCTGGGATCTGCGGGAGATTGCATCGGTGGCTCTGCTTGTGTCTCCAGATCGAGGACCACGGCCTGGTGTGTGTGTTGTGGGGGGGGGGGGGGGGGGGGTCCTCTGGTTTAGTTCCCAAATGAGACCAGAAAGGGGAGGGGCTATGGCCCAGGCCTCAGAGATGAGGACCAACCCCTTTGGACTGTTCCTATTTGCATTGGTGACCTCATCCCTTCATTATTCAATACCTCGACTTTGTGGGAGACAAGGATTTGTGGAGGCATAAAAAATCCACAGCAAAGGGGTGGGCGCTGTAAATAAGAAAGCACAGAGCGACGCGAAAGCCTTGCTGGGATGGAGTAGAGTGTGGTCTGTATACACAGTGCTCCCTTGTGGAGTCCTAGACCCAGACTGGAGGGGGGGTGGTCACCTGCGATTCTAATACTTATCCCTGTATTCATAACCCCACTTTGCCCCAAGGAAGGAATGAAAGCAGCTTACAGACATGCGTGGAGGACACTGAAATACTGTCAGGCAGTTTTAACATAAGTAAGGAAAATGAGGCAAAGAGTCTCAGGGGTGGGTGTGTGCATGCGTGACGAATGCAGCTGGCTGTGGATGCTTGTGGGCGAAGGGTCACCCCTGGTTTGTTCTTTCTTTATTTGTTTGGTGAGTTTATTCCAAGAATGATTTGGTGCAGCTTGTAAAGATGCTTGGGCTGTCGGAAGAGGATGTAAATTTTGAAATGAGAGAGAAAAATGAGGCAATGTGGAAAATGAAGCAGAAGGAGACAGAAAGGCTTCAGTCACACTGAGTGGACCAGTGTGCTGTTGGGTAAAGGCAGAGGCTGTAACAGACTGAGGAAGACTTGGGGTGGGGGGACAGGCCAGGGAAGGGGGTCACTGGTTGAAGAGCGGCTTCTTTGTGTTGAGCTGGCTTCTGGGAATGCCTCGGAGAGATGGGGCCTGTCTTCAGGTGGCCAACAGGCAGGGTGTCGGGAATGAATGACAACACAGTGTGCTCAGCACTCTAAAAGAGGTTGTGGGAGGCCCGGAGGGAGCCAGAAAAGAGAAGTGTTGATGTTGAAATCCAGGAGGACCACTTTGGGAAAGATATGTGGGACATAACTCACTTTCGAAGAGTGGGGCCAAGAGGAGGGTGGGGGTGGAGTGAGCAGGTAGGTAAATGTATTCGTGGCAAAAAGAAAAAGGCAGGAGGAAGCGTATATATCAGCATCATGTATTTGCTCAGGTTGCCTCCTGCCCGGCCTGGCCTCTCCTTGTGGGATTCCCCTGGCTTAGGTAGCCCATTACTGAAGATCCACCTGCAAGGCTGGGTCCTTTTACTAGATCTGGCTGCCCCGGAAGAGGCCTCTGAGAAGGAATGCAAGAGGAGGTGGCTGGTAGGACGCTGGAGGGAGGCCTGAAGGTTTTCTCTCTTCCCTGGCAACCCTAAGTAGAGATTTCTAGGCCTGGTTTCTTCTTCTGTGGGCTGCCTCTGACCATAATCCTGCCCTAGGTTTCGTGTCCAAAAAACCTCCCTCTTAAGACAGTCACTCACCCTTAACCGGCTTAGGATCAGCAGACTTACTTTGCTATTTCCAGGCCTGACATGGGTTCTTCCTACACACACCCTATTTAGGTCCAAACATGACTCTTCCCCCTCCCTGTCCTGTCCCTAAGACATGAGACTGAGGGGCCACAGGGGTCGAGCCGCCCTCCCACAGAAGAAGCAGGCAAAGGACCGTGTTTGGGTTGGAGTCTGGCAGCAAGATAGGGGAGCTCAGGCTTGCAAAAGACGCCGTCTGGCAATAAACAGCCTCATCTTGCCCTCGGGTTAATCCGCTCGCAGGGACGAGCTTCATGACCTCTCCGTGATCCCAGGCTCAGGCTGTCAGCTCACATTCCTGGCAGATGGACAGTCTAGGGTGTTCTTCAGGCAGAACTGAGATGGGGAGGCAGGCAGGCTCATTGATCCTCAACAGAAATCCTGACCACCATTGATCAAATATTTTACTGTGTACGAAATGTAACAACACAATTAATCCTTACACCAGCTCTCTGTTGTTATCCCACCTTTCACAAATAGGTTCAGAGAGGTTGAATAACTTGCCTGAGGTCACACAGCAAGCAAACAGGAGTAGCCTGAAGTTCAAACCCAAGTGTGATTTTGAAGACCTTGTTCTTTCCATAATGATTTAATGCCACAGACTCCTCTCTAGTCTCCCCACTTTCACTTTTGCCCCCTGCGATCCGTTGCCCACACAGCAGCCAGAGTGAGCTTTTCAACATATAAATTGGATCACATTATTCATCTGCTTAAAATCCTCCAGAGATTTCCCACAACACTCTGAATAAAATCCACTCCCTCCACCATGGCGTACCAGACGCTCCTGAATCGGTCCCCACGTCCTCTCTGAATTCACCTGTTCAATCTCCTGTCATTCACTGGGCTCCAGACCCACTGGCTTCCTTGCTATTCCTGAAACAGGGCAGGCTTTAGCCTTCCTCAGGACTTTTGCATTTGCTATTCCTGCTGCCTACAGTGCTCTTCCCCAACTTGTCCCGTGGCCAGCTGCTTCTCCTCATTCCTCATTTGTGCAGGTCCCTGTCCAAATAACCCCTCCGCAGAGAGACTTTTCCTAACTCCAGTCCAAAACAGCCTCCTTCTCCTTACTCTCTGCGACCTCACTCAGGGTCTTTCCTGCATAGGCTTTAAGCACCATCTGAAATTGCATTTGCTTCCTTTCCTTTCTCCCCCTCAAGAGTGTGAGTGCCACGAGTTGTATTTGCTGCTCTGTTCCCAGCACCCATCAAGGTACCTGGTGCAGAGGAGCTCCAAATAACTACATGTGGAATGAGTGAATGAATGGATCAAGCAATCCGTCAGTCAGGGTGTCTCAGGTGTGGGGGCTCTGTCTCTCCTTCCTCACTGCCTGCCTGCGGCCCAGCTTCCCGGGCCTCTGGCCTCCTTCAGTTGTCTGCACTTTGCCCATCCCACCCCGTCCATCCCCCCACTTGGTTGTCTTGCTTGTCAGAACAGTAGAGCCTATGGAAATTTCTTGGAGACCACAGAAGGAGGTGGTCAAATGCAGGATCATTCCCAGGTGGTTGTGAGATACAGAAACAACCTTACCTCATGTGTTTAGAGCAAGGACAGACCAGGGGTCTGGGCCCAGCCGCATCACTTCCCCAGTTTCAGGCCTCACGTAGGTTCTTCGCCTCCGTAAACCCTAGCCTTCCACCTATAAATTGGAGCTAAAAGGCCCACCTTGCAGGGTCATCAAGAAATCATGTTTGTCAAGATTTAGCACAGTGCGTGTAGGAGTAGGTGGGGCTTTTTTTGCTAAATAATGAGTGCAGTCCCTTCTCTATGACCAGGTGGGCTGAGTTGCGACAAACTATTTCCTTCTGATAGCAGTACTGGAAGACAGAGCTGACGCTGTTAATAATTGATGGGATGTTCGGCAACGGGAGGCAAGCCAAAGCACAGGCCCTAGCCTTCACCGTCAGGGGCGTGGAAATCAAAATCCATTAGCCAAAAGGCAACGTGATTGATTCTTGTTGGGAAGCTAGGGTCAGCCCCGTTGGAGCGACAGGGCTGTGGTCCTGGGCCACCACTGGGTTTCTGCTTTCTCGGAAAACTCTACAGGTTTTTCTTAGCAGGAGAGCAAGAGGGAAATAATTTCCGAGGCCAGGAGTGTCTGCCCTCCCTGGAATAGTCTCACGGCATATATCTCAGTCTGAGATAATTTCCTGATTTCCAGATTGGCTACTGTTTATGGTGCTAGGCACTGATTAGAGGTACTTTATATGTCCTATCTCATTGAAATCCCTTCACCAATCCTATCAGATAATCTGCCAATTTGGACTGCAAGTAATAAAATAGAAGACTCAAAGTGGCCTCTACAAGAGGGAAGATTCTCACATAACAGAAAGCCCCAAGGTAGCTGGTTAGTCCTCCAGCTGGCTTGGTCCTCAGGCTGGATGCCTCATGTCACAAGAGGGCTAATGTAGGCCCATGAGATCCACCCAGTGAAGAGGGACATTTCCTTCTGTGTACCACCTTTTCTCTGAGAGGCAAACCTTTCCCAGGAGGCTCTATGAGACTTCTTTTCACATCCTGTTGGCCACGATCTGGTCACATGCTCATGTTCTCACTGTAAGGAAGCCTGGGGGAAGCAAGTGTGGCATTTTCAGATGCGGGGAAAGAATGGCTTTGATGAGGGGTATTAAGACTCAGGGGCACCTGGGTGGCTCAGTCAGTTGGGTGTCTGCCTTCAGCTCAGATCACGTTCTTGCGGTCTGTGAGTTCGAGCCCCGTGTTGGGCTCTGTGCTGACAGCTCACAGCCTGGAGCCTGCTTCGAATTCTGTGTCTCTGGCTCTCTCTGCCCTTCTGCCACTCACGCTCTCTCTCTCTCAAAAATAAATATTAAAAAAATTTTTTTTCAACGGATTCTTTCACAGAGAGTAAATGGAGGCTCTGCGAGGTGAAGTCACTTGCTAGAACTCACATAAGCAAATGCTCAGCAAATATTTGTTGAAGGAATGAAAATGGGGTTTGGACCAGGGTTTGAACCCAGCTTGGTCTGGCTCCCAGCCTGCGTTTCTTAATCCTGGAATCTTGGGTAGACCTTTCAAGCTGTCAGAGCTTCAGTAAGCTCATCGGCCAAATGGTAGTTATAGCCATGCCCACCTCTTGGGCTGTTTTGATGACTCAGTGAGATTTCAGATGTGAATATAATTTGCAAGTGGAAAGTACTTTATATGTGTGAATAATCATCATTATATATTATTATATTCAAAAGCAGGAATGGTCTTTATGTAATGGCAGTGATCAGTATTTTGCCCACCACAGATTTGCTTAAGAATCATCTCAGGTGAAAGGGGGGGGGCGGGACCTGGCTGGCTCTGTCCGGGGAGTGTGCAGCTCTTGATCTCAGGGTTGTAGGTTCGAGCCCCACTTTGGGTGTAGAGATTACATAAAAATAAAATCTAAAAAAAAAGAAGAAAGA